AAAAAAAAAAAAAAAAAAAAAAGCATGCAGCAACCGGAGGCGGCCATGCTAGGGCGGAGACGCTCCCACCACTCCCCTAACAGACCCGGTCGTGGTTTCCTTTGCAAAAAGAAAACAAAAAACAAAAAAAAAATGTAAAAAAGATCGGTAAAAGCACGCATACACACACTACAGACGGTACAATCACATTCAAAGCACACAGTCACACACTTAGAGTCTGGCAGCTGCAAGTCAACGTCCGCCGTCCAGTAATCTGGCGTCATTGAATGCGGCAGGCTGGCAGCTTTGAAAGTCCATCGGAAGTCGAATATCAGACGCCGGCTGCAGTGGGTAATTTGCCCTGAGGCTCTGGAGAAGGTCTAACTAAGAGTTTGGGAAGGACCTGCTAGTGGATGTCCCAGTTCTATGATCGCCAGTGCGCCAACTCGATTCAATGGAAGCGGGGATTCAAATTGGTACAGGCTGGTGGTTCCGCTGAGTACCGCTTCTCATCGAGTCGAGTCGTCCTGCCGAATATCCAAGTCCACCTGGGTACTACTATCCACTGGGTGGGGGCTCCTGATAACCTCTCCGAATTGTATTGTGGAAGAAGGATCGAGTCGAGGTCCCACTTAAATAATCGTCAGTGTGCCAACTCGGTCCAGTGGGACCGGGGAATTGATACCAGCTGGCAGTCCCACCAAGTGTTACCCGTGGATGGGCTTGCCGGATACGGAAGTCGACCCGGGTAGTATCCACTGGGGACTTGTGATAAGCTCTCCTCCTGATTGCCGTAGGAGAATCCCGTTGAGGTGCCACTCGCATGATCATTAGTGTGCCAACACGGTCCAGTGGGACCGGGGAATCGAGACCGGCTGCCAGTTGTGCCCAAGTGTTTCCCATGGTCTTGCCCGACGCCCGTCATCCAAGTCCGCCCGGGCAGTATCCACTCGGGACTCATGAGCACCTCTCCGGGCGACGTCCGCCCGGGCAGTATCCACTCGGGACTCGTGAGCACCTCTCCGGGTTCCTCAACGAGAATCCAGTCGGCATGCCACTGGCATAGTTGTAGTTGCCGGTGGGCGGCGTGGGTGGAATTGGACCTCTTTCCCATTCTCGAAAGCCTCTCGCCTAGTACGGGTACCGTAAATGTTCTCCAGAGTAGCTGCCGCCCTTGGCCTGGCCCAAACTGACCCCTGGCCAATTATGGCCTGTTGAAGGAGGTGCCACTTGCAAGGCATGTACTGGAATAGCTCTCTTCGAAGTACCCCGGCATGACCCTACCAGGGGGTATGCCAACAGGCAGAGTGCGTCCTGGAGCTTGGCTGTATAGGGGTAACAAGTATGCACTTGCGCCAAACCAGACAGGTTGACCTGATTGCGTTGTGTTTGATGCGCGATTGGAATATGTAGTAGATGTGCCGCCTTGCTGTTGCAAGCTTAACCTGTCTCCGACTTGGTCGTTCGCGAACAAGGCTTCTCCAGTGCGATAACCACCAGCTGGCTGAGGGTTGTATTCTCCGGTTGCGGCATCATATCTGTTTCCAGTGGCCCTGCCCCTCGCATGTTCAAGTTCTCTTCCACCGTACAGCATCATCAGCTTGTCTTGGATATCTATAGAGACCTATAGTGACATTAGCGTAATGCACACCATTGGAATTTAGTTTAGCGTTAAACATGCACCAACTGTCTTTTATTTTATTTTCGTTTACTTTCTTTACGCACCAACCTTCTGATACCGACTCAAGTAACTGTTTCTTTTTCCGAATTCCCTTGTCTGAAATATGCCCTTGGTCAACCACAAGGTCAGTGTTCAAAAAAAAAAAAGAGAAAAAAAGCATGCCCTTGGTATTCCAATCAACTTATAGGTCCACATGTTGGCATTGCTTCTTCTTCTTCTTCTTCTTCTTCTTCTAATAATAATAATAATAATAATAATAATAATAATAATAATAATAATAAGATGGATGGTTCTTCTTCTTCGTCTTCTAAGATGGATGTGTTCTTCTTCTTCGTCTGCTAAGATGGATGGCACGCTGCTAGCCAAGGTGATAAGAGCACCCTCGGCTATCTGGCCCCGGTGGTCATCTGATCCAATCTTATCCAATCTTATTGGTGGCATTGCACCTTTAAGGTCTGAAGAGTCAGTGAAGACTCTAAACTTTGAACATAGAAATATTACTCTGGACTTCCTGATGAGTCCGACTCGGTGAAACTCTTAGGAAATATAGAGCTGGTCTTGTGTAAAAACAATACATAAGTACAAGCTGCTTGGTAGATGTTGTTATCCAATGACATCAGCTCTCAGACTGACAGAAAATAATTGTTAAAAGACGTTTCGCTAAAGTTGAGATTTCTCTCCATCCC